CTAAACCCGAAACCCTAAGATGGTTTGCCGAGGCAGGAGGAATCCCAGGGTCATCGTGACTGCACAATGTAGCAATGCAACTATTACAGCGGCCTAAAAATTAAACAATCACAAATATCAAATAAATTGCAGGATTCTCTAATTTTAGTACGGCTATATATTTCTTTGTATTTAGAAGGTTTATCAAAGGTTTTCGGGATAAGTAAATGGATAAGAAAACGGAAAAGCCAATGCAAAAACTGGGAAGCGCATTGCTGACTGCGCCTATATTGGGTACCCCGCTGCATCATTCCAATGGAATCTAGTCGTCTGTGCCCCAACAGTAGATCAGGCAAAGAATCTGGCTAAAATCCTTCTTAAATCCAGCTTCCACCATTTTTCATGTGTTTTTCCATTTGATTCTGTGTTGTTAGGGTAGTGTCCCTGCCTATCCCTATGTCTCTCTTTAGAGGAGCCTAAGGTTTCCATTTCATGGTCCTTCAGCATGTGATTCTCCGTTCATGCAGTCGTATACGTTTCCCTGCCCACACCCTATACATTGCATGCCCAGCATGCCTGGGGTGCATAGAGGTTTTTGTAAGGTCAGTTTCATCGTTTAGGGTTTAGGGTGGTTTGAGTTGATGGTTTTGCGGCTCATCTTCATGGTACCTTTTTCTGTTCTGATGGTTGGAATGCTCCTTTGGCAAGACCTGATGTTTAGGGCGTGGGGCTTCGGGTAACTGCTGTCAGCCGACGTAGTTATAAGTTCTCACCAAAACTTTAGCAAGTGGACTCCGCAGCCATTCAGTTTCGGAAAACCCCGGTCTTCCCAACATGGGTGTTCCTTTCAGATCCTAGGGACTTGCAGGAATTGCAAATGGGAGCCCGTATGGAGGATTCTATCAGGATGTTTGTGAGGCTCCCATTTTCAGAGGCCCTTTGCTTCCTCTTTTGGCGTGCTAGAAGAGCTGTCTGGAGCTTGTCGAGCCCTTGAACAAAGGCCTTCTTCATGAAAGCCAGATCCTTCAAACCATGAAGGCGTCTTCAAAACAAACCCTAAACCCAAAGCTCCAGCCGCAAACGCTAAAGCCCCAAAACCTATACTATACGTCACCACCCATAGCTTCTCCATGATGGACGTTCAGCTTGCGCGCCTGCTGGGCAGCAGCCTAGACAGGAAGTCTGCAACCATTGCTTCCAGGACTCCAATCGCGAGGGTGGCTCCTTCAATAGACTTACTCACGGAGGGTTTAGGGTGTAGGGTACCGTGATTGTCATTAAGATTATACTTCAGCTACTAAAAGAATACGCTTCTGCCTTGCCGCCGCCTAGGAAAAGCCGAAGTAGGTAAAGCAGTGGTGGAAGCTTCCTTTTCCCTCCGGCTTCAGAACAACAACCGCCTGCCCCACGATCACTGCAAGAAGTATGCAAGTCTGAAGTCGTTGTTTCTGCAGGAATTAGTGTATAGAGGGTTACGGGGACCCATTATGTACACAGGGATACATGGGGGAATGGAAAAGAACATGGAAACTACTATATACATTATTTCGGGTTTAGGCTTTAGGGTGAGGGACTTACTGTAGAAACTAGGTTTGTAGCAGGGATAACTGCGATTAATCTGTAGCTTAGAGGGATCATCGGTATACCTACTAAGTCCCCTGGCCCTCCAAGTAAGGGGTATTCCGAGTATTCCCTTATGACAGACCAAGTATAGCTAATGACAAAGCATGCCCCAAGTTGGAACATGCAGCAATAAGCACTTAGAACATACCATCACTGCCCTCTCATACTGGCCTCCACAAAGTAGTACCATTACAATAGATGGGGGCATATCTATTGTTAGGGGAGTGGGACACCACACAACATAATCAAACAGCACTCTTCAGCTAAGGGCTTCGGCTTCAGGATGTTTAGGCTGTAGCCTTCTGGGGGTGTGGGCATTTGGCCTTCCTGAAATCTTCCAAGCTAAGATCCCAAGGAACTTGCTTCACTTCCCACGCAAGAGCTATTGAGGCATTGTCCAGACAAGGCCCGGAGAATTCTAGCACTAGGCTCGCAACTATTCCGCCCTACTTGGAAGGTTATGGGGACTCAATGCTTAGGTTGATAAACAAGATAAGTAGGGCTACCAAGTCCTCATGAACCAAGTAAGACAGCACTATTTAGGGATGAAGTCGGCGAAGGGTCCTGCTTCAGTAGATTGCATGGAACTGCTATTCCCGTATGTCCCTTCCACATCTATAAGTCCCGAACAACTTATTATGCCTGCCCTCAGTTTCTCTGACTTTGGCCCGCACATAAGCCTTGAACCGCCTCAAGCTGGGTTGCTGTCAAGGAGCTCAAATGTTCCAAAATATGGGGATATAGTAAATAATAGGCTATTATTATAGTACCGCTAAACCCTGCACCCTACGCCCTATTTAGCCTTGTCATACTGTTGATGGATGAAATCTTGCACCACCTGGGGCCCTAAATTACTGTAATTCCTATGACTTTAGAGACCTAAGGTGGTGCAAGATTTCCTCTATCAACAATAGTAACTTAACTTAAGTTTCCTAACAGCAACACGGGGAGCTCCCAAAGTCTAAGCCGTCCTCGGGGATAGGGTCGAAGTGTACGGCCATGGCTCAAGTGTGGCGAGGGCCGTGCGACTAGTGGTTCCGTTTTGGATTGCTGATGAAAAAAAATCGAATATGATTTAGGGTTTAGGGTGTAGTCCCCCCTTAAGTAGGCGGAATATGATGATATTGGGCACTCCATATTCTGTCTACTCTAGGGGGACCATACGGACGCATTTCTCAATGGGTCGTATTTGGTGTGCTAGCAATGACAGAAACCCATCGCCAACAATGACCGGCCGAAGCCGATATAGATTCAAGGCGGCTGTGCTTGGATCGTTCACTTGAAGGTCCAGGGTAATCGTCCTGTTATATGGAGGTTTCCCTCAATGCGGCACCCTTGAACACGTTGGAAGTTTAGGGATTACAAAGGCATTGCAGGGGCTCTCTTTCTGCCCAGGCAGATGAACTTATAGACATTGTTGGGGTTCTTTCGAATTAAGCCCTCTAGGGCTCCAAAAAGGGCCAACTAGCTACCATCTTCAGACTTTAGGGCCAAACTAGCAATCAGGAACAGAAGACAATATCATGGAGGACTACCCCTAAACCCTAAACCCAGGGGACTACCCCTAAATCCTAAACCCTAAACCCAGGGCAAGAGTTTTCTAAATCCTCAGTGGATGCGAGGTGCTAGTCTACAGCGCACTCCTGATGCGGAGGTGATCTCCACGCCAGGCTGGTGCGTAAGTTGCTTAAAAAACTCTCAGAGCCAGACGGCTACCACGCAACTCATAATAGCAAATATATAATATTGGGGATATACTGGGATAATGGAAAAGAAAATGGAAACTACCATAGTATATTGGGGCAATATAGTATATAGGGTTTAGGCTTTAGGGGTAGTAGTAAAAACTCTGCTGAATTATATCCCACTAAGCTGTACATTCCTTCACCTCCCTCTGACCAGCACGTTCATGCACATGGGTGCTTGCTAGAAAACAAAAAAGATCTCAATTCGATGGTTCCAGAATGCTAAATGCCGGTATGGAGCCCAAATAGACTTGGTTGCTGTTAAGGAACTTCAAATTAAGCTACCAAAGCGGGTATATATATGGTAATTAACACGGTTTCCCCAAACTAGTGACCTAAATTACGTTCATTAACAGCACCCCAGTAGATAAAGATTCCCTGCACCTGCCAATATCTATCCTGGGTCCTTCCTTAGGGTTTAGGGTTTAGGTGCATGAGCTAAATTAAATTGGTGATATAGACCAAACCCCCCTGGCCAACAATATCTGACTAACACTGTTGATGGACAGAACCCTGCAAGACCCGATCCACCCAAAACATGGGACATATGGTGGCCTACTTAGGGTTCTGACCCTATCTACCTAAAACATGGGAAATATGGTCGTAGACCCTAAACCCTAACCCCCTCACTTCGGGTCAAGATTTTGTCCATCAACCGTAGAGCGCGGCACCTGTTTCGGTTGGATGTAGCAAGCCCGCACTCTAAAATCAAAACCGTCGGTGTAGTATTCGGGTTATGTTGGGACAATGGAAATGAAAATGGAAACTACTATGATGGGGCTATATAGGGTTTATAGGGGATATAACATTGGGGACATATTGGGAAAATGGAAAAGAAAATGGAAACCACCATAGTATATTGGGGTTATATAATGTATAGGGTTTAGGGTTTAGGGGGATAGAGCACTAATCCTTAAACCCTAAACCCAGTGTTGGCTAGGCTCTGGTCAGGGTTTGGGATTTAGGTTGTCAAACTTGGGTCGCTTCTTGGGTCGTTCTTGGCTTAATATCCTGGATACCTAAAACAGCCGTAAGTTTAGGGTTTAGGGACATAGTCTTGACCAAGCTTCCACAGAACATATCATAAAGTCATTAGGGCTACCAAATGGATTTGCGTGACAGTTTGAAAGTAGCTTGGAGCCCAAAGTTTGAAGCTCCTGGTTACAACATATTCAACGTTGAAAGCAAAAGCCTAAAGT